GAACAAAGAAATGACCATTAACGTATGAAGACAAAAACAACAATTGAGAGTTATTCTCTCCTTTAAGAAGAAAACAAAGGCAAAAATCATATGCAAAATAACAACAAAAACACAACAAGTGTTGCCTTCATCATTGCACGGGACACAAGGAAATCTTATAGGAAAAAAATCCATCAACACTTTACTTTGAATATTTTTTTAATTTATAAAGGAATTTTTTAATATTTAACACTTTTTTGTTTCAATTACACAATATTTTTTCAATTCGAACGTTTTCTAAATTACCAAAAGAATTTGCAACTGACCACCGCTTGAAATGATTGACAATTGGAGAAAGAAACAGATGAGAGTAGCAGTGTGGTCAACATGGCAATAAGAAAAAACGACTAATTTTGTAAAAACTATAAAACGATAAACCTTAAGCGTTTTTTAAAGAATATTTTTGTAAAGACCATCAAAAGACAATAAGGGGGATTTTTAAAGAATGTTTTTTAAGACTGTCAGAGGGTAATCAGTGAAAATCATTATAGAATATTTGTTTAAGGACCACCAGAGGGCTAAGCGTAGATTTTAAAGAATATTTTTTTGTAGACAACCAGAGATTAGCGTGGATTTTTAAAGAATATTTTTCTAAGGACCACCAGAGGCCTAAGCTTGGGTGTTTAGAGAATATTAAAGAAAAACGGAGAATGGATGTTTAGAGAATATTATTATGGACCATTAGTGAGTAAGCAGAAAGCAAAATGTGTGATTTTTACGATTTTTTAACAACATTTAAGGACTACAAAGTGGAATTAAATTTAACATTTGGTTCACTTTTTAAAGTAGCCCCCACATAAGACTACATTCCAAATTTCAATATTTTGTGGATTTTGGGCACGTGTTTCTGAACCTCCCTAACAATATCGACTGATGTTTCTGTGGCATTTCCTGTTATGTTTTTCAAAAATTTCGGTGTAGGTCCATCGTATGACATTGCCCACATGAAAATAGAGAGGCGACTCTCTGAAGTTTTTCGCCCGAAGTGACCGTAGTTTGGCTTTCTGGGTCTGTGTGTAAATAAAAAATTCTTTGCAGAAAGTTTCACAAATAATAAACCTACTAGCAGATAATTTACAATTCGGCATATGAAGTTCCTGACCTTTTACAAAGAAAAACAGTAACGTCCGACTATACAGCTCAGCTCACTGGTAAATTCTTCTCATAACCATTCAAAACGTGCATTCTATTGATAGTATCAATCGATACCGTCTAAAAAATTTAGTTTTTGATCAGAGGCAAAAATCGAAAAATCCAAATGTTGTCTTTTGCGCTTGACTACATATCTCTAGTGCGGTCAGATATACTAAAAAATTACAGGGTTCTGTATATTCTAATATTGTCCTATATCTATATTTTTCACCATAAGGGAAACCAAACCACTGATAGGGTGTGATTTATCCAATATATAAACTACTGTTCAAAATTGCTGCTATTAGTTCGAATATTACTTCAAAATTTTTTTATTTTTTTCCCGCCTACCATTTTCACTGAAATATGTATGGGATATAAATACTTTTTAAATCGCTATAATTATATTTTGGACATATTGCACTGTCGGTCGCCCGTTTATTTTAGCCTCCAATATAATAGGATCTTGATTTCGCTTGAGAAACATTTGGTGGTAACATCTGTTGAATATTTGATGTTCTCAAGTAATTTCGACGTATGTATATAAATGCCCAGTTTGTCCCGTTCGCCATTTTGCCACTTCCAACATTTACTATTTTTTTTTTTCATATACCACAATATTCTATTTTAGTTATTAAATCTCCACTTAATTAGCTACGAAAAATCCTACGACCCACTTGATTTCGCGTTTTCAAACAACTTTTTATCAATTAAAAATGTCAGCAATTCCTTCGCAATTGACAACACTGTTTCTCTCATTTGTCTCTTCCTTCAGTTGACAATCATAGAAAAACGGCGGTTGGTCGCGATTTACTTTCATTGTCCGTAATTGTTTAATTTAATTGAATTTATTCAACAATTATATTATAAATTGTGATAAAAATGTTCGCTTTACAATAATTTACCTATATACAATTAAATAATTGTCAAAACAAGTGTTTTTAATTGATATATTTAGAGAAAAAAGAAATGCCTTGTAATGTGGAGGTTGTGCTTTGCCTATTTATTCGTGTACGTGCGTGTGTGTGTTGAAAGGAGAGCTTCGTGCTCCTAATGTTGTTGTTACATACAAACGGCCGGCCGTTATTTCTCGTGCACATTAACAGTGATCTCGTTAAAAAAAGTAACAATTAAAGAGATAGAGAGGGGAGAATTATTGGAGAAGAGTATCAATCACAGTGAATTCCCTTATGTTGCAGCTAATGTTCTTTATGTTGTTGTTATTGGAGAATAGTGGAGTAATCGCAGCGTTCAAAGAGGTATGTTTTTTTTTTGATTGTATGACAATTAGTAAATAAGTAAAACGCACGTTTACACAGAGTGGTCAAGATTATCTCGAATATTGACATTAGCAGTTTTGGGATCTAATTTTAAAATGTTTGTATCTTTGTTTGTATGTTTGTTATTGGGTTGAAATGAAAAGACGATGTTTAACCTTTAAGAACACAAATTGTTAATTAGCAGCAAAGCCATGCCATATTTATATTTCGAAAAAGAATGAAGATGCACAAAATCGATATAGCAATCACTGAAGCAGAGTATTGCGCCACCTGTCGGACGAAATTTAAATTACACTGAAGCACTCTTCGCGCTCCATGTGCATAAAGTTTGGTCAAAATCGGTGCAGTAGTTCTTAAGTTACGGTGCAAAAACACAAAAAACTAAATATTGCGCCATCTGTCGGACGAACTTTAAACTACATAGAAACACTCCTCATGGCCAATGGATCCTGTACATAAAGCTTAGTCAAAATCGATGCAGGAGTTTTTGAGTTTACCGATCACGAATATACATGTAATTTAAATATATATAGAGAAGAGATAACTGTCAAATGCAAATCGAAATCAAATGCAAAATGGGACGACTTCGAGAAAACCTATTTTGCTGAAATGAGTCTCTGGCAATGGATAATAGGACTATGAATGAGGTTATGCCAAAGACAAAAGTATAATGAAAACAACAGAGATGGTCAGTGTGACGAATTTTTAGGTTTTCGACTGTCAAAAAGGTGTAGTCATCGAAAATGTCATATACCTGTATAAAAAGTACTAAATTTAGTAAACGTCCTTTATTTGAATATTATCACCGTATACAGTTATTTTAAACAATATATATTATTTTTACATATATCTGACTATTCCTTATAAGAAAATTTAGAAATTTTATATGGATTTAAGTAAAGCATACGTAATTTCCAAATTGATTAATGGAAATAGCTATTTTGTTAAAAACGTAATGGTTTTGGGTGGGTTTCCGACGTATGTATGTCATTTACGTCACTGTTTCTGACTGACCATCTCTGTAAAACAGGGTGACAAACGTCCGCATGTAAAGAGAATCCCACATTTCATACGTACCAACCTATTATTTTGTACTTTCCAAACAATAAAGTTGGCATTTTTAATTTGCAAAAAATCTGTTGGCATGATGCAAAAATAAGTCGAAGGTGATTTATCAAAACAAAAACATTTGTTTTTGTCCCGACCTCTGTCAAATTTTTCTTTATAATATTTCACATGGTTGGCAACATTGCTCAGCTTTGCTAAAAGGACTACCTTTTAATTGTGCCATGAGTAGAATCTACGAACTTTGACAGTTAATCGGATAGTCAAAGAATAAAGTTGCCTTTTTAATTTGCAAACAAATACTTTTGGCATGATGCAAAAATGAGGCGATGTATCAAAACAGCTGTTTTTATTCGACCATCTGTCAAATGTTAACTAGTAATATTTCTCATGGTTGGCAACATTGCAGGTGAATTCAAGTAGTAACTCATTATGCAATAATAAGGTGATGTATCAAAACCAAAGACTTTGTTTTTATCTCAGCCATCTATCAAATTTTTCCTTATAATATTTCACATGGTTCGCAACATTGTACATCGAATTCAAGTAGAAACTATGCACTTTGACAGTTGATCAAAACATCAGCTGCTTTAAATGGACTACTAAATGACAGTTAATCGGATAGTCAGCTGTACTAATGAACCATGACTTTTGTCGCAAAATAAAAATTTTGTATGTACATATAGTAACAAACATGATCTGATTGAGATTTAGATTAGGGATGTGTTTAGAGAAAATGCTCTGAGAATCAATGAGAAATGGCCATATGAATTTAGATCTTGATTAAAGGTATGTATGTGTAAACAATTAGTGAGTATTTCAGGGTTTCGTTACTCGAGTTGATTTAAAATGGACTTTTGAAAAATCTAAAAATCGAAATCGGAAGGATTTTCGACTTTTGCGATTCGAAACATGGAAATTGAAAAATTATCCTTCTTTTATTGTTTTTTTCTTTTGAATTAAAAATATATTTTTTAATAATAATAATTGTAAATAATTCTTTTATGCTCTCCTTGTGTTTGGTTTGGCTTTTAACAATAAATTGTAAATAATTTTTATATGTTCGTATGCAGATTTTTCTTTTTTAAACAATTAATGATATTTTTAACGATTTATGTTTAATGTTTTTGTTGTTGTTCTTGTATATTTTCTTTAGTTAAATTGGTTTTAAATGTTGTTGTTTTTTTTTCGTACTTTGGTTTCGTTACTACTTTCATTTTTGTGTGGATTAGCAGTTTGTTGTTGTTATAATTATTTTTTGTTGTTTTTGTTAATTATATATTTGAAATATTGATTGCTTTTTTAAATATATGTTTATAATGTTATTGTTGTTGTTGCTGTTTACTATTATTAATTTGTCTTTCTTTCTTTTGTGTCACCCCCTTTGTTTAGCGGCTATCTCTTACCTGATATATATTTTTTATGTTAGTCCTGTTTGTATGTGTGTGTGTATCGTAGTGGGTGGGTGATTGGCGTTGAGGTTTCTTATTGTGTCTGATATTGAGGATATTGTTGTTCATATGATGGCATTTGTGGTAATTGTCCCAATGTCCCTGCTGCCGGAGCTGTGGCTGTACTTTGACCAGCAGTGTAATCGTACGAGGCATATGAACCCGTTGCCATACCCCCGGTGGCGACATCAGGTTGCATGCTTTCTTCGGCAATGGTGGCACCAGCCATGGCAAATGGATTATTGGCCACGTGTCCTGTCGCCCCATAATTAACGGTATTCGATTGTTGCATTTGACTTTGTTCCGTGTATGGTGGTGGGGCTTCACCCTGCAAGAGGAGACAAAAATTAATAATTTTCATAATTTTGTAAAAATTTATTTCAAACTTACAAATGAGGTTTCCTTCATATAACCCGCAGCACCCGGCTGATTAGGATCTTCGGTAATTGCACCCATGGGAGGGGCCCACACTTTCTGTTCCTCTTCAGGTGGTGGCTCGGCCCAGGGTTGTAATTCGCCAGAGGCAAAAATGGCATAGAATGTACAGCCAACTAAATGAACACAGGCGGCCAGGGTAAAGACAGTGGTCCAACAACCTTCAGGCTACAAAAATAAAATAAGTTTTATTTTTCGAAGAAAAAAAAACAGCCTTCCATCACTTACATTCCTTTGTATTAGACCATCCAAAGCATAGGGTACAATAATACCCGCCAATGTGCCAATACCATTTGAGAGACCCATCAAAATACTGGCATAACGGGGGGCAATATCCAAGTGATTGACATTATAGCCGGATATGGCAAAGCCCGAAAAGGCCACACCACAGGTCAAGGCAAACATGGCACCAGTCTAAGAAATTTTAAAAATAAAATTAAATTCCCTTAGAAATTGTCCCCTCCCCACTTACCGCCGTATCCGAATGGGCCACAAACAAGAAAAATATACCCTCCATACCGAAACCACCACAATTGAAAAGCTTTCGCACATTTGTCGTCGACATAATGCCATTTTTACGCAAATGATCTGCCAGCATACCACCAAACGGTACAATCGTGGTCATAATCAAATGGGGCAGCGACCCCACAAATCCGGCCTCCTCAATTTTAAAATGGAATTTATGCTTAAGGAAGGAAGACTGAAAGAGCACCAGCAAATAGAAATTCCACGAACGGCAGAAGTTCGCCACAATGATGGCATAGACCGGCATCGATCGCATCATTTCACGCCATGGTGTTGTCCTCAGATTCGGCATAGTTGGATGGGCCGACGTTTCACCCAGCGATTTTTCAATATATTTCAATTCGGGTATACTAATGGCAGGATGTTTGCGGGGATTTTCAAAACATAGCCAGAGCCAGAACATGTACCTGAAAAAATAGGAAAAATATGTAAAAAAAAAATCACTAAAAATCCAAGCCTTTATAAAATATCTTTAAAGAATCCAGTCCCTGAGAAATATTCTTTAAAGAATCCATGCCTAGTCCCTGAAAAATATTCTTTAAAAAACCCACGCCCTATATGGGTCCTTAAAAAATATTGACGCCATCCGATAATCCCTGAAAAATATTCTTTAAAAAACCCACGCCTATAATAATCCCTGAAAAATATTCTTTAAAAAACCCACGCCTTATATGGGTCCTTGAAAAATATTCTTTAAAAAACCCACGCCCTATATGGGTCCTTAAAAAAATATTCTTTAAAAAACCCACGCCTTATATGGGTCCTTGAAAAAATATTCTTTAAAAAACCCACGCCTTATATGGGTCCTTGAAAAATATTCTTTAAAAAATCCACGCCTTATATGGGTCCTTAAAAAAATATTCTTTACAAAATCCACGCCTTGTTTTGAGTCCTTAAAAAATATTCTTTAAAAAATCCACGCCTTGTTTTGAGTCCTTAAAAAAATATTCTTTAAAAATCCACGCCTTGTTTTGAGTCCTTGAAAAAATATTCTTTAAAAAATCCACGCCTTGTTTTGAGTCCTTGAAAAAATATTCTTTAAAAAATCCAGGCATTGTTTTGATCCTTGAAAAAATATTCTTTAAAAAATCCACGCCTTGTTTTGAGTCCTTGAAAAAATATTCTTTAAAAAATCCACGCCTTGTTTTGAGTCCTTGAAAAAATATTCTTTAAAAAATCCACGCCTTGTTTTGAGTCCTTGAAAAAATATTCTTTAAAAAATCCACGCCTTGTTTTGAGTCCTTGAAAAAATATTCTTTAAAAAATCCACGCCTTGTTTTGAGTCCTTGAAAAAATATTCTTTAAAAAATCCACGCCTTGTTTTGAGTCCTTGAAAAAATATTCTTTAAAAAATCCACGCCTTGTTTTGAGTCCTTGAAAAATTATTCATTAAAAAAATCCACGCCTTGTTTTGAGTCCTTGAAAAAAATATTCTTTAAAAATCCATGCCTTGTGTGGGTTCCAGAACAATTGTCTTAGACCCTGAGAAAAATGTGTTTGTTTAAATTTAGAAAAAATACTTACCATATTATTCCGAACACACCATAGGCATAGAATGGTGCTTGATATCCCAGCGTATCCGCTAGTAGGCCGGATAATGGCAATCCCACGACCACACCAGCATAGGAACCACTGAAAGCCAGTGTGGCTAAACGAGAACGTTCCATGGGAGGAGCCCAAAAACGCCAAATACCATGGCAGGCAGGATAGGTAACACCCTACAGTTACAACAGAAAAAATAAAAAAATAATCGTATTTAATGGCAGATTACACAAAATCATCCCCACATATGTTTTTTTCACGAAATAATATTGAAAAGATTTTATTTTCAAATCAAAATCTTCTTTAATTCTTTGGTAAACAAAAAGGGAAAATTTTTGAAACCAAATTTTTCCTTTTGAGGAAAAGAAAAACTCCACATGATGTCATCGAGGCATAACAGGCCACAGACTTTGATTCGTTTAGAAAAAAATCTCCCCCAAACATAGACACATATCATCTTACTTACCTCAAATAAGCCTTGCAGGATACGCACACATATCACCACATGTCCGTGCATCAAAGTCATGGCGAATGGCACAAATAAATGCAACGTGGCCGAGCTGGCAATTGACAAGCCGAATATTTTATTTGCCGGGAATTTCGATGCGATAAAACCACCCGGTATCTGGGTTATCAAATAGCCCCAGAAAAATGATGAATCGACATGACTCTCCGTGGCCACTGTCCAGTTCATAAAGGCTGTCTGTTTTTGGGAGGGGGAAGAAAAAAAGCAAACAACAAAAGGAGGATTGTGTTATTGTATTTGGCTGAATAAAAGATTCGAAAGAAAATATAGTAATAATCAAGGAGGAAGCTTCCAGTAAAGATGAAACGGAAGTGATGGTTGCGTATGTCACACATTCTTATGGAAATAAATCTTTGTATTCAATTATTTTGCCTCCCGTTTTTTTCTTAGCTTCTTGTTATTTATTTCTATCTGTCATTCATTTATTCCTTCAATGAGTTGGCTTTCCTTTTTGTTTTGTAAAAAATAGAGATTTATGCTAACATTGTCTACTGTTAGTTTTATATTGAAATAAATCACAAAATGAACATATTTCTATCCTCACGAATTTCTGATGAGGTTTTGTTATGTTAACAAGGAATCTTAAATGTATTTCCGGTGTCCTTTTTCCGGCTTGGCTGGTATTAAATATATAAATATAATATAAATATCCTTGAATGAATATAAATATACTTGAAAAAATATTCTTTGAAAAATCCACGGCTCTGATAAGACCCTGAAAAATATTCTTTAAAAAATCCACGCCTTTTGTAAGACCCTGAAAAATATTCTTTAAAAAATCCACGCCTTTTGTAAGACCCTGAAAAATATTCTTTAAAAAATCCACGCCTTTTGTAAGACCCTGAAAAATATTCTTTAAAAAATCCACGCCTTTTGTAAGACCCTGAAAAATATTCTTTAAAAAATCCACGCCTTTTGTAAGACCCTGAAAAATATTCTTTAAAAAATCCACGCCTTTTGTAAGAGCCTGAAAAATATTCTTTAAAAAATCCACGCCTTTTGTAAGAGCCTGAAAAATATTCTTTAAAAAATCCACGCCTTTTGTAAGACCCTGAAAAATATTCTTTAAAAAATCCACGCCTTTTGTAAGACCCTGAAAAATATTCTTTAAAAAATCCACGCCTTTTGTAAGACCCTGAAAAATATTCTTTAAAAAATCCACGCCTTTTGTAAGACCCTGAAAAATATTCTTTAAAAAATCCACGCCTTTTGTAAGACCCTGAAAAATATTCTTTAAAAAATCCACGCCTTTTGTAAGACCCTGAAAAATATTCTTTAAAAAATCCACGCCTTTTGTAAGACCCTGAAAAATATTCTTTAAAAAATCCACGCCTTTTGTAAGACCCTGAAAAATATTCTTTAAAAAATCCACGCCTTTTGTAAGACCCTGAAAAATATTCTTTAAAAAATCCACGCCTTTTGTAAGACCCTGAAAAATATTCTTTAAAAAATCCACGCCTTTTGTAAGACCCTGAAAAATATTCTTTAAAAAATCCACGCCTTTTGTAAGACCCTGAAAAATATTCTTTAAAAAATCCACGCCTTTTGTAAGACCCTGAAAAATATTCTTTAAAAAATCCACGCCTTTTGTAAGACCCTGAAAAATATTCTTTAAAAAATCCACGCCTTTTGTAAGACCCTGAAAAATATTCTTTAAAAAATCCACGCCTTTTGTAAGACCCTGAAAAATATTCTTTAAAAAATCCACGCCTTTTGTAAGACCCTGAAAAATATTCTTTAAAAAATCCACGCCTTTTGTAAGACCCTGAAAAATATTCTTTAAAAAATCCACGCCTTTTGTAAGACCCTGAAAAATATTCTTTAAAAAATCCACGCCTTTTGTAAGACCCTGAAAAATATTCTTTAAAAAATCCACGCCTTTTGTAAGACCCTGAAAAATATTCTTTAAAAAATCTACGCCTTTTGTAAGACCATGAAATTTTTTTTTTGAAAAATCCACACCTTTTGTAAGACCCTGAAAAATATTCTTTAAAAAATCCACACCTTTTGTAAGACCCTGAAAAATATTCTTTAAAAAATCCACGCCTTTTGTAAGACCCTGAAAAATATTCTTTAAAAAATCCACGCCTTTTGTAAGACCCTGAAAAATATTCTTTAAAAAATCCACGCCTTTTGTAAGACCCTGAAAAATATTCTTTAAAAAATCCACGCCTTTTGTAAGACCCTGAAAAATATTCTTTAAAAAATCCACGCCTTTTGCAAGACCCTGAAAACTATTCTTAAAAAAATCCACGCCACTTGTAAGACCCTGTAAAAGTAGTCTTTAAAAAACCCTCGCCTTTTGTAAGACCCTGAAAACGTAGTCTTTAAAAAAACCACGCCTTTTGTAAGACCCTGTAAAAGTAGTCTTTAAAAAATCCACGCCTTGTTGAGTCCTTGAGCAAAAAATTCTTTAAAAAATCCACGCCATGTTTGAGTCCTTGAGCAACAAATTCTTTAAAAAATCCACGCCATGTTTGAGTCCTTGAGCAACAAATTATTTAAAAAATCCACGCCTTGTTGAGTCCTTGAACAAAAAATTATTCTTTAAAAAATCCACGCCTTGTTTGAGTCCTTGAACAAAAAATTATTATTTAAAAAATCCACGCCTTGTTTGAGTCCTTGAAGAAAAAATTCTTTAAAAAATCCACGCCTTGTTTCAGTCCTTGAACAAAAAATTATTCTTTAAAAAATCCACGCCTTGTTTGAGTCCTTGAAAAAAAATTATTCTTTAAAAAATCCACGTCTTGTTTGAGTCCTTGAACAAAAATTATTCTTTAAAAAATCCACGCCTTGTTTGAGTCTTTGAACAAAATAATTCTTTAAACCAGTGAGCTGAGCAGTATAGTCGGACGGGGCCGACCATACGATTCCCTACACAACTATCACGGAAATCTAACTTTCTGCCGATTTTTATTCCGAGCCTGACAAAATTTCGTTATAGTTGCACCCTCTTGTCCGATTAGAGGTCAATAGTTTTGAGAATATTACTAATATTCAGCACAGTCCTTCTAATTACTTGTCGAGATTCCTTTGACCGTGGGTTGTGTTGTGATGTTCGGTTTATAATTGTGGCCTATAGATCGACTCGAAAAAAAGTTTTCGGTCCACTTCATCCCAAAATTATTATCTGATCATCACCGAAAATTATAGTAGTTGTCCTTGACCACTACTGGAACCTCAAGGAACATTTCATAGCGATCAGCTCTATATTTTCGCCCTCCAGTGTGGTAATAGGTTACTAAATAATATATCAGTACGTAAGCCTCTGTAAATATTTAAGTGTAACTCCCACATGTGAGTACATACGACCATATAATTGGTATCAATTTAAAGGTCAACCACTCGTCTTGGGCGTGCTATCAACTTCTCGGGTCTTTGTTCTTCATGGGTAAATATATATGCTATAGAATACAAATTTTGTCATTTTTCACACAAAAGTCAGGGTCCATTTGACCCCCTAAATATTGACCAATCTTTATCAAAACAGACACGCTTATTCTTTGGCCCGATCCCCTTCTCCATGCAAAAAATCGCGGTGTTTGAGCCATAATTGCGGCCTCTGGAGCGGCCAGAAAAACCGACAAAAATAAAGTTTATGGTCCATTTCATCCCCTAAAAATTAACCGATCTTTTCCAAATAGGGGTCTTCATTGGTCAGAACCCATCCTACATGCACAATTTCGTGAAGATTGGTCCATAACTGTGGCCTGTATCGTGTTTACAAATTATAATGGACAGACGGACGGACGGACACACATGTCTAGATCGATTCAGCTAGTCGAGATATGACGATCGGTATACTTAAAGGTGGGTCTAGGATCAATATTTCGCGGCGTTACAAATTTTTGGGGCTGAACAAAACTATAATACCCTGACAACATAGTTGTGTAGGGTATAAAAATCCACGCCCAGTTTGAGTCCTTGAACAAAGGAATTCTTTAAAAAATCCACGCCTTGTTTGAGTCCTTGATCCAAAAATATTCTTGAAAAAATCCACGCCTTGTTTGAGTCCTTGAAAAAATTATTCTTTGAAAAATCCACTGCTTGTTTGAGTCCTTGAACAAAAAAATCTTTAAAAAATCAACGCCTTGTTGAGACCCTAAAAATTATTATTTCCATGCCTTATATTTTTGGGATATCAAATTATTTTTTCTAAATTTTTCTAATACATTATTTTAATCCTTCCCCTTACCTTTTACATATCAAACCTAAAAAATCAAACATAATGCATCCATTAGCAACAACAACAAGAAACCCAACAAACAATAGAAAATAAAACGAACCATTAGTCTTTGCACATGAATGGTATCGTAGAGCAATTTTTCTACTTTATTTATTTTTTCCAAAAGAAACAATAGAGTTCCTTTTGAAAAAAATAACTCTAAAGGACTTCCACCCACAGTCACCCCACCCCTATACCATTCAATACATCACTAGCTAACTTTGAACCTAGTTTGAAAAATAATTTTTAAAAGGAAAACCTTCATGTTCAATAAATGGCATGACGTCTATGGCTGTGATGATATCTATGTATTGGTGTGTTGTAACAATTGCCGGAAAGGAGTCAAAAAACATCCTGTTACCAAAACACCCAAAGTACAGCAAGGCCTTCTCTCCTTCCACCATTGCCCAGTATTGTTGTTGTGGGACGTCGGCACAATTGAGTTTTGTTGCCGTTGACAAAAAATACCCTGAAGCCATTATTAATGAGCGTGATGGTATTATAATGCATATAAAAGCCCAGAAAAATGTATTCAAATGGTGTTCTGTTGGCTGAAGAGGAGTAAGGGAGATCATTGTCCTTTGCATATTGTTACAAATATGGGGATTTTCATGATGAAAGGATATGTACAAAAAAGTAAGATTTTCAGGATTCCCCAAAAAATGAATGTTCAAAGTTCTTAAATATTTAATGTTAAAAAATCCACGCCTTATGAGGGTCCTTGAAAAATTAATGTTAAAAAATCCACGCCTTATGAGGGTCCTTGAAAAATTAATGTTAAAAAATCCACGCCGTATGAGGGTCCACGAAAATTTAATGTTAAAAAGTTCACGCCTTTTGAAGGTCCTTGAAAAATGAATGTTAAAAAATCCACGCCTTTTGAAGGTCCTTGAAAAATGAATGTTAAAAAATCCACGCCTTTTGAAGGTCCTTGAAAAATTAATGTTAAAAA